AAGATTTCTATTTCAGATAAATGCTGTTCTTCTGAACTTTCTATTCATCAAAGAAACATCTACTCATTTGTTTTCAACATAATAATAAATATTTCTTGAGCAGCAAATCAGAATATTAGAATTATTTCTGAAGATCATGTGACTGGAGTAATGATGCTAAAATTCAGCTTTAAAATCACAGGAATAAATTACAATTTAAAATATATTCATATAGAAAACAGTTATTTTAAATAGCAAAAAATATTTCAAAATGTTACTGTTTTAGCTGTATTTCTGATCAAATAAATGCAGGCTTGGTCAGCAGAAGAGAATTCTTTAAAAACATTAAAAATCTTACTGTTCAGAAACTTTTGACTGCTAGTGCATGTCAGCCTATAGTTTGATAAAAGGTAAACATGAATTTATGTGCGCTGTTTTTTTCTAAAATATTATATAGTTTTATATGAGGAGGCTTCATAGACTTGGAAAATTAATTTTTCATAAGATGTTTGTATGCACAGACATCTGTTGTGGTGTTCTTGGCAGTTTTTATGAGGGTTCATACCGATATCAGAATTATATCGTATCGGCCGAAATTAAGAAATATATCGTGATATAAATTTTGGCCATATCGTCCAGCCCTAGCTCTTTTAGTACAAGTACTAGCTATTTGAGCTAAATAAGCACAGAAGACAAATAGAAGTAATGCTTATTATGAAGTTGTGGCACATGTGACCGGCTGTAGTGCTATGTGTTATTATTTTTATTATTATTAGTATGCCATGAATTGCCATAATGTCACTGATTATCAATTCCATTCACAAGAACAACGAACAAATCAATGCTTCATAAAGATTTTAGCACATTTCTTCAATAAAGACCAATGACATCCCAACATTACAATATTTGCGGATGATGAAACTACAGTACACTACAAATCTACTGAATATAAATGTGATATGATACAATGATACAAACATTATTTATGAGTTTACTGCAAAATATTTAAATATATACAAAGTAGTGCTGGGCAACGATTAATCGCGATTAATCGCACTCAAAATAAAGGTTTTTGTTTGCATATTTCTTACTGTTAAAACTGAAATGATGGACCGATAAGAGGAGTAAACTGCACAAGAGCCATAAAAACCGTCCCATAGAGCACTAAATACAGGTTCATTTGTTGGTGCTGATCACAACCTGCTTGTGCAGTGAATTACTGCCTTGAATTCTTGAAAACTAACCTATTCAATAATAATGTGTAATGCTGGGCCTGTTTAGTTCATGGTAGTAGTATATTTTTTATTTAATGCCATGCCAGCATCTTAGGCTATTTTCACGCAAAAACAATAAAAAAAAATACAAGTATGTTTAGTTCATGGTAATAGTTTAACTGATGTTCACATCTTTTGGAACTCAAAACTAGGGCTGAAGGATTTGTTAAAACTAAAGAAAATCTGACTGCAAATTTTCAATGTTGCTGCTATAAAATAGGCCCTAACCTTCTTTTGGCATTCACACTGTAAAGTGAGTTCAGACTAGGGCTGAACGATTAATTGCATTTGCGATAATATCGCAATATGAAAAATTTAGATTTTTCAATCGCAGAGGCTGCGATTACACTCGGTCACGTGACACATGAGAGTGAAGAGGTGTGTTCGACTTGAAGATCGATCTGTGTATGACATCAAAGTACGGCGAGCGAGAGAAAGCATAAGGAGACGTCCGCGCTCTCTTATAGCTCTCGCAGTACTTTGATGACACACACCCATCAGTCTAAGCAGCGCTGCTTCAAGTCGAGCGCGGGCCATCAGCAGAAAAAGAAAAGAAATAAATCAGTAAACAGCCAAAGGATGTAACTTAGAATGGGAGATGGATCGGTTTGTGAAAGCGAAGAGAAAAGCCATAGATGAAGTCGCACAGACCCAGACAGATGCTGGTCATTCAAAAGCTAAATGCTGAAAATACGACGAGGCATATCTTGCTCTCGGCTTCACTCACTGTGTCTATACCGCACGCTACAGTTGTGCATCGCGCCGCAACAGCTCTACACTGAAGCGACAAAGCAACCGATGCAAATCATTTGAACTTTGTGTCAGTATGTCATAAATAGAACAAGGCATCAGTTTAATGTCGCGTCGCATCCAGTGTAGACCGTGTCACTGATTATAATGATTTCTACTGTATTTTGCCGCTGCGTACGGTGTAGACACGGTGTTTAATGTCGTTGGTGAGGA